CGACGGCCGGCAAGTGGGCTGGTGCTCATGCCGAATGCAAATCAACATATATATATATAGGGAAGTTCCCCCTGACCTCCGGCTGCTCGGGAGGGAGCCTGAAGACGATGTCTGGGCAGGACAACCTGGACATTGCCGACACTGGTCGGGGTCCGATCTTGTCGCTGGCCCGAAGATCTGATGAACGTCTGTGAAACCGGTTTCCCTGCGACACACAGATTGCATACAATACACAATACACATCAATACACATGGGTGCTGGAGCCGGAGTGGTCAATCGTGCAAGGAAGCTGGGGTGACGAGATGCCACCGGCTGTTGGCGAGCCAATGTCAAGCATTTGATCTGGTGGCGACTGGTGGTTTGACAGCCAAAAGCACTCTTCAGGATGACGAAACCGACGGAGCTAACAGGGTATGATGTGTGGAATTTGATGGCATGGGTGTCGGAAACTGGTTTTGTGGAACACCACTTCATCTTCCATGTCTGTCATATTAAGCACGTTGTAGTGTGTATATATATATATGTATGTTCTATTTCAATCTTCTAGACTTCTAGAGCGGCAGCAGCTGAGCGAGGCAGCTACTGGCCGTGGACCAAAGCCAGTTCATGCAAAATTTCTTGCCACTTGGCAACATACGGACCAAGAAGAGGGTGGATACAGCTGGGTCAAAGCACCACGTATTCTTGGTCAGAAAGGCGCTGAGACCATGGATTTTCATCTCTCAGTCCCACTTGGCCCAAATTTCAGGAACGCGCACCAAAGGACTTCTACCTAGTGACAGCAAAGGAGATACATGGTGGGACACCCTCGTGCGGGGATATCCGTTTTTGACATGCTGCTGGCTGCCAAGATAAGCTAAGCGCAAACCCTGAATGGTTTCTCAGGAATTCTACTAGGAATTCTGAAAAACACTGACATCTGGAAGACGATTCCTCTACAAACCCAAGTAGAGATTTTGCTGCTTCCCAGTGTTTTCCGAGACCAATCTGACGCCCCCTTCTCTGCGAGACCCTTCTGCGCCGCGACCCGCGTAGCATCGCGTAGCGGACCCGCGACTGCGCTGCCCGGTCCGGTCACCCGGTGGCTTGAGGACCGTGAATGGCCTGCTCTTCACGATCCTTTGTGGTACCTTGGGCTGGAGAGACGCTTTTGGGCCTTTTTCGCACGGTCCGAATGGACGCGTTGGATGCGTTGCATGCGTGAAAAGGGAACGGGGCTACGGGAGGCGGTGCTTTTCACGCGGGCACGCGTGAAAGGGTGTTTCGGTGGTGCATTTCGTGTTTTCCCTCAGATGTTTTTCTTTGCGACCTGTGCAGCTGGAAGCTTTCCATTGAGGGATTCTTTCCACGCACCCAAACAACCTGGTCCAGGTGTAGCTAGCGATTAGGGAGGTTTTTCCTTGCTCGCGATTTGGGCGAACTGGGGTTGTTCTCCGCCAGAAGCGAGGTAATACCTACACCTCCTTGTACACCCAGCAAGAGGTGCTTTTCCAGGCCTTGTTCATAGAGGCTGGGGCGGGTACCGATGGAGGTACCTGAGGAGTCGTCTTGCAGACTCTGACGATGGACCATTGACGACATGGACCATCCACAACCGCCTGAGCCCGAAAAACACAAAAATGGCTGCGAACCCCCTGCGGCTCTGCATAGCTCTGCGAACTTCGGGTCGCATTTCCACTGTCCATGCTACTTGGGAGGGACTGCTCTAGGTCGTTTGGCATCTTGGTCAATGAAAGAAGCAGATCTAAAATCAACTGGAAAGTTGTCGCACGGGCAGGGCCTCCACCATTAAAGTTTCCAATGAGATTGGTTCTCTTCATATACATAGCTTCAGAACGCAGGCAACGTGGCCGACGTGAGATTTGCCGGCGAATCCTGCGGCTGACCTTGAAGTGGTCACGCGTATACGCGTATACCCGACCCAATCCTTCCTCGGATTTCCGCAAAGCTTTGATCGCCCGCTCACCTCACAGTCTCCTGATGCATGACCCAACGGGAATGAACCGACGTTTGACGAAACCGACACGTGTGACACGACAGGTCTCTGAAGCGAAGAGCTTGCTTGAGCAAGCTTGCCTGGTTTGTCAGGGGAGGCTGGGGGAGGAGAGGGTGGCTTTTTGACTTTGAAGTGAAGCGAGTGCCCATCTCCTCATTCCTTGAAATAGTGAGTAACGACGACCCTTTTTTTTGCTCTGGAAGATGGTTCCTGTCCCAGCAAATGGGTAGAGCATGGTAGAGCGATAGCCCCCTGTGGCTCGATGTTGAGGTCTTAACTACATATACCATCTTTAAAGACACTCTCAAATAGGTTTGTCTCCAAGTGAGTAGCTTTTTGTTTTTATCTACTCTCTTGGCAGGCTAGTGTTGGTGAGACATTCGATCTGAACTAGTTGAATCTTTCTCCGATTAAATGGATGTTGTTAGGAATGAATGTGCTGTAGAGGTACAAGAATGATAGTGATAGTGTCCCTTAATTTTATGCAATTCTGTATACCTGAGATCAACTGCTTCAATTTAAGTCATTCATGAGTAAATTGCATTTCTTCCCCTCCACATGTGGTATCATGTGGTATTCATTTATCCATTATCCCATTCTTGCTAAGACCCGATTAGCCACACGGATGACCTTCCATTGGACTCTGATGGTTTGCATCAATGAAACTGGAACACGTGGTCGAACAAAGGGAACATGGACGAACTTGTAGATTTTCCCTGTCGAACTTGAAGAACGTTATTTTCAAAAGGCAGTTCCTGGACCGGACTGCTCCTGGCATCCCTCGAGAGGCCGTTCTATCCAAAGATGTTAGATGCTGGGACGCACAAGTTGGCGAGGTCGGACCACCGGCCGAGAGAGTTGGTCGAAAGGCAGTCCCGGCAAGAGACCTCACTGTGCAAGTTCTCAGTCTTCAAAGGGCGAAGAATCTCTGACTCTTTGGTTTCACTGGAATCTTCACTGCAAACAGGACGCCCCAGCGTTGTTTTCGTTGGTAAGGGAACGAGTGAAAACCTTTACACTCTCTGTTTGTTAACTAGCAGGGCTGTGACAGGCGCTTTTTTACTCCGACTTCCAAGCAGCTGAGGACAGCATCAGAGAATCCGGGCTGCAGGAAGAAACACTGCTGAACCTTCTAACCCAGGATTTGACCCAATCCAAGCTAACCACAAACCTTGCACAGAGAAGCTCCAGACTCCTTGATGTACTACTTCTCCAAAAGCAAATCCAAATCCCGAAACATCCTGAGTCTACAATGCTTGTCTTGGAACATAGTTGCGGGTCGAACTCCTAACGCCCTGCGACAAATGTACTGATCCCATTCAATTGCATCCGAGAATCAGATTTGCCCAACAATTCTTCCTCAGATTGCCGAGCCTGACGTCCATCTGTTCCTCATGTTGAGCTTGGGGTTCTTATGGTCAAAGGCATCTCTCCAGTCACGCTGGCGTCGGCACCAGCTCCCGTGAAGGCGCCACTCAGCCAAGCCCTGCACCCTTTTTGAAGCCGAGTTCCGGGCCACCGGCATGCAGACTGGAAGACGATGTTCCTCCTTAAAAAAAAGCGCAGCCCAGTGGCTTTCCAGGTTCCATCCATGGGTCCTTGGTCACCCCGTGCTTGGTCGACGACCCTCCCGAACCCCAGCGGCTTTCCACGCCCCGCTGTCCCGCGCTGTCCCGATGCTCCTCCGTCCGAGGACTACGTCTCCACGGACCTCAGGCGGTTGGACGTCGAGCCGGCGGAGCTGCTGACGAATCGGCCCATGGACGATCCCCTGGAGTGGCCCGGCACCGCACGGCCCGGCACCGGCACCAGCGGAGCGGCGATGGTGTCGCGGAGATGGACCAAGAGGGCACAGGAGGTGAATGGGTTTCTTCAGGAATCGAAGGTGTGCGGGTCTACCTCGAAACCATGAAACCACCAGTGTTTTCTGCCTGGGGTGCCTGGTGGAATGTGAAGTGGTCCATTTATGTCCATTTCAGTATGATTCGGGGAACAGCAGTGGCCTCACCCCTGCCACGACCGGTGGACTTTTCTTTGGCGCATTGCCCGAGAAAAATTCGAGCCCTGGCACTTGGTCGCCAGGTATATCCTTTATGCACCTTGACTGAGATGAAGCGGCGCTCAAGTCACCGGGTGTGTGGGTCATGTTTGAGTGCAGACTTCCGATCCTTCCGGATTTTTTGATCAATCCCGGTGTATCCGGTGTATCCTATTGATTCACTGCAATAACCAACGGGAAAGTTGCTTCTCACTTATCACTCTCACTGTTGTTGGCCAAGTAGGAACTATCATCATCCTCTGCTACAGCAATTGCGATGCACAAATCCTATGTCGATTCCAGATGATTCCAGAGCGTTTGGCCACCTTGGGGGTTCCCCCCCCCGCCCCCCGAGACTTGGAGTCTTGGATTTTGCCGCTCTTCGATCGGCCCTCGGCCCAGCTCGGCCCAGCTCTGCGCGTCTCGTTACCCGGCCGTCCCCGTCCTTCCGCGGTCCGAACTCGGCGAGGCCACTTCGGTGGGAGTGCCTTGGCACATCGGACGAATCGGACCGAAAGGTAGAACACGAATCAGATGAAAAGAGGACGACGTCTAGTGGGTGGAACCGGTTTGACCTTTCTTTTGATATGAAAAGACAATGTTTGGGCTCCAAAACAGGGGTCAATTAGGTTCTAGGTATATAGTGGGTGGAACCTCCACTCTTTTGCTGCAATTGGGACGTCCTGGAAGATTTCCTTTTTCCCCAAACAGCTTTGCTATCAGGGGTTCTCAATTCTTGCATAGAAACAATCCTGGGCCAAGATGATTTCTGGCCTTTTGTCTCCTGTTGTCTCCCATGGCTCTTCTGGATGCTGGGCTGGGATGATTTTTGTCGCCCTTAGCCCTGAGCCTTGTTTGTTTCTCATGGCTCCTCTGGATGCTGGGCTGAGATGATTCTGCTTGGTTTGCTTGATCCCTTAGGACCTTAAACTTTTTTGCTCACTCTGGCCAATTTTGTTTGCAACATGGCACATGCTCTGAGACAATTTTGCTTGATTGATCATGTGGCCCGGGCTCATGGCAGGATGTATTTTTTGCAGGTTGTATTAAAGCTCAAACAGTAAAGGGTCCGGGTAGCAGCTTTGAAAAAATGTTCTGCTTCATGCTCCGTTTTTCCTTCATTGCCGGTCAATAAGGGAGCTCCAGAGGCCCAATGACAGTAGAGGGGTTGGCACACATGCGAACCAAGAACCATTGCAACAAGGTAGGTTGAAGAGTCGTGCAGTTCGAACTGAAAACCGTGTTGCTGCAACTGCTAGGGGAACAGGTTTCAAAAGGCTGTCCTGTTTTTCATGATCTATTTGGACTGCCCATGACCAGCTGTGTGAGCCTAGATAGATTCAACTTGCTCGTCTCATGGCCCTTCAGAGTCGCCATCGGGTACAGTGGATAGTGGAGTGGACAGGTGGCAAAGAATCTTTCGGCCAGGCTTTGCAGAAGATCGTGCACGCCTTGCAGTCCAAACAGCGGGCAGTTGAGTCAGTGAAAGCTCATGGTCACCGCAACATTGTCCTCACATAAAGGCAGTCAGTTGGCTATGAAGGAGCATGCGGATGGGTGAGAGACATTGTTGGAGATTCGAGCTTGTGGCAGCTTTCAGATGGCCTCGTCAATGACAATGACAAGGCTGACCCAGACCAGATCCACGAGGAGAAGGCAAGGCACTTGGTGCACAAAGCATTGGCGCTTTGCAGGGGCAAGAGGAGGCTGCACTCCGACGTAGGATTCCTTCGGATGGGTGGTGGTGGCACGACTTCGCGAAGGGCCTTCGGCTGAACCTGTTGCTGTGAAGATGTTCAAGAAGAAGAAGCCGGACTTCGACCAGCTCCAGAAAATCCATGTTTTGTCAGCAATAAAGTCGGAGAACGTCAGTCCGTTGGTCGACATGAGCTTTTGCTGTGGAGCCTGTGGAGAGGGGATCGGCCTCGTGTTTTTCGGTGGCGAACGTTTACGACGCCATGCACACTCCCACAAGTGTGCGCACCTATAGGTTTTGATGGAAAAGCCAGGCAACCTCAGCTTCAGACGCACGTATGCGCATGCATGCCCGCACATGCGCGCCCGCGCGCCCGCTCGCCCGCAAGCCCGCCCGCCCGCCCGCACGCACGGCTTCTTCCAATATCAGGGCTTCGTAGTGGAAAGGTTAGAGAACGGCTTCTGGAAGAGGTGAGGGGCTAGAGACACGGCTGCTGGGGAGTCGGAGGCTGGAGAACGACCTAAGAGGGTTTTACTCGATTGAATAAGCACACAAGGCCTTCAGTTTGGTGGCATCCTGATTAGGGTGATGTTCAGCAAGGGGAGCGAAAGCCGATATCAACTGACGCACTCCTTTCGTTGCAAGGACGCACTTTTTTTTAAATAATTTTTATTGTTAAGTTATAGACCCCCTTGTCTTATCTAGCTATTTTACATCATAACAAGTGAAGTTCAACAGGCCTTGTACTTCAGCTGCCTGAGCCGACGTTGTGCGGCCAGCTTCCGAGATTCCTTGGAGAATATCGCAAATTTTTTCCAACCTGCCGGCTTTGTTTGCAACCTCGAAACTACCTAAGCGAGTGTCTTGAAGAGAGTGTGTAACCCCCAGGGCGTCAAATGCTTCCGCAAAGCCCAGGCCTTTGTCACCTTCCTTTGCGTAGACCCAACCTAGGATGTCAAGCGCGGCTCCGAAAGCGGACGACAACACTTTTGCACCCTCGGTTTTCTCAGTCCTCGAAGTAGTTGCAAGTTATAGCTTTAAGCAATTTGGCCACTACGAACCAGAGAGCTTGGGCTACTCTTACAAAACCATAGACCGACCCCGTAGCTCCGAAGGCAAGGCAACTGATTTATAGAAGCGGCATTTCCCACCTACCGGAAGGCCACCACTGCCAAATGGGAGTGTTGGGGCAGGATGGCCAGTTGCTTATAGGCTTTACTTAGATCTAAAGTGCGCCCTAGCCAGGCGGCCAAGTGCCCAGTGCGGCTTTGCTCATTCAAGGTGGTTCTAATCATTGCTGCAATGTATTCGTTATCTTGAAGCTGCAATTTAAAGGTGGACGAATACGCAGCGTTCAAGGCACTAGCTTTGGCATCATCTATCACCCTAACCTTCCTGCTGGGGCCTTGATACAATACGAACCGCGGAGTGGTGAGCCACTTCTGGTGACTATAATTTGCATCCATCTGTGCCTCGGTGAATGGACCAACCAAGAAGCCCTGATCTACCTCGGATGCCGTCGATTCAATCAAGTCTGCTTCTTCTTCGGAACTTGGCTTCTGACGAGATCCCATGATGCTCTTCCTCCTCCAGATTGCGGACTCTTCCAATTCTTCCTAGGTCATTGAATGGCACAGAGAGAGTAGCGTGGAGGACGTATTTTTGGTGGCTTTTTGTGTGGGATTAGATGGTGGAAAGCTTTAGCGGAGGGCAATGTCGGAGAGTCGGAGGCTAGAGAACCGCTTATGGAAGAGGATTTTTACTGCCGTCAGAAAGCAACTTTTGGCACCGAGAGAGCAGCTCCGAGGACGATTTTTTTTGTTGTTTTTGGTGGAATTAGATGGTGGAAAGGTGTGGCAAAGCCAATTGCCGGGAGCTCCCGTACAGGGCGCGGCTATGGAGATCGCATGGCCGGCTGAGATGATTCAGCATTGTCTCGCATGGCTCGTTTTTGATGATGGGCTGAGATGATTCTGCTTTGTTGCCACTTGTCTCTTGTAGCTCTGCTTGGACGCTGGGCTGCTTACAGCCCTTACTCTTCAGCCACCACACTGTACTCAGCAAAATGGGATATGAAAAGGAGAAAACAATATATTTGGGTCGCATCGCGACAACAACCACCCACACCATTGGCTCTTGAGTGTCCAAACATGGTTTTTGTGCGCCCTTTGAAATTTGCACTATGAAATGGGGGATCCCGGGATCCTTATAAATCAATTGTTTGTAAGAAAAGCTTGTTTTACTAAAAAATGGGGGGTCACTCTATAGAGAAACAATGTTACTAGCGTAACTTTGCTTACGCTGGTTTTCATTTTGTAGAGACTTCAGATTATGCATATAAACCAAGATAATGGTATGGTTGATTTCCACTTTATAGACGCTTTTGGTCCAAGCACCTCATGTTATAGACATGTTTTGTGTGATCGATGCCTCATTTTCTAGAGCACAGACCGCGGACTCTGGATTTTATAGACGTGTGGTTGCAATTGCTTGCGTGATGATGCCCCTACGGATGATGGACCTCATTTTATAGACATGTTTTGTGTGATCGATGCCTCATTTTTGTAGAGCACAGATTGTGGACGTTGGATTCTATAGACATGTTGTTGCGAGTGCTTGCAAGAATGAATGATGCCCCTATGGATGCTGGACCTCATTTTACAGACAATTTTTGTGTGATCGATGATTGATGCTTTTCTAAACCACAAACCTTTTCTTGATTGGTTAAGTTATTGTTTTCACGTGGTTATATTATTTTTACATCTATCTTTGTTATTTTGTATTTTTTGGTATGCATTTTTGTTGTCATTGATTCTTGTAACATATCATATGGAACCTGATTCTCATTTTGTAGAGATTCTTTAAAGTATTTTTTTATGCCCATTGAGCTTGATGCTGTGATGGCTGATTCCCATTTTGTAGAGATTGTGTGTTGTTTTGGTCTCCAGACCATTCATTTGCAGTCAATCTGTAGACATTCTGTAGAAACCATTTTCTACAAAATGCCTATTCCAGCATCACCCCGTTAACTTACACCCTGCGGGTTGTTCCGCCGGCCTTTTCAGCCAATGGTCCCAAGATGCGGATTACCTTTTGCGTCAAGAGGAAAGACTGCAACAGAGCAGAAAAAGTAACAGCATCATCCAGAACACAGCTGGAACAACAGAGGGGCCTACATGAAATGACGCGCATTATGATACAATAAGAGAACAGGGAGATGAAATTGGGGGATGCAAAGTATAGCCTGCCAAGCAAGAAGACAAATTATATGACATGTGACATAATGAGCGAAGTAGACTGTGCGAAGCAGCAAACGTACATAGCATTCCGTCAGACATGATACAAGAGAGTAATGAGGACATGTGTGGCATGGGGATTTCCAAGCAGTCTGAGTCTGCAAAAAACGATAGATACGTGAGTGCAGGTGCAAAACCTGAGAAAAACGCATGCAAAGCAGAAGCGCAATGCATGGACAACGACAAGAAAAGAACGACGATACGAAGGAAGCGCACACAACCTTTCACTTTAGCTATGATATGCGAGCTACATACATTCGGGGGAGGGGGGGGCTGGCAAATTGCAAGTAAGACATGACAAATCGACTTGTAAGCGGGTCCAAAAACAGAGTGATTATAACGGTTCTTCTATTTCATTCGCCCACTTCATGATGCCTTCATCTCTAAGTCCTGTCTCGATCATGCACATTGTGCAGTTTATTGTGCACAACAACCACTCTATTTTCCGAACCAATTGAAATTGTACATTTTTCAGGGCTCCAAATTTAATATCCACTTGCAGGCATTGTTAGATAGAAGTTGGTCTCCTTGAAACATGTACAAACTCCACGGGACTGAAACATGGAGTGATTATGTACAAACAATTTTGCAATTGCAGCCGACTTAGATGAGCGCAAAGTGCAAGATCGACATACCAGCACAAGCGGGGTTGTTTTCAGATTCCAGATGGTCCTTGGTGTTGTCCATCGATCACTCAGACATAGTTGTTGATTGCGGCCTTGCTGCAGCAAATTTAAATGTTTTGTCGAGTCTCGCTTCTCAGGTGCCTTCCATCATCTACGATACCATCCGGGACCTGCGCCAGGCTGGTTATGGCCACAAAGTATTGTAATACTTCGGACAGACAGTTTTTTTGGCGTTTTTGGCAGATGATCAAATGGTCCTTTTCTTTAACCACCGACTGCTGCGGTGCTTGCTGTGGGGGGTTCTTCCAGCATTGAAGGCGCGCGGCCAGCGTTTGGGCGCCATGCAGCGGAAGCTGCCGGCCATCCACTTCGTGTCACCGGGTGGCAGCTCGGGGTCACGCTCCCATGCACGTTCCATGGACGTTCAGTTCACCCCCTGTTAAAGGATTTCAAGGTCTTCCTTACGGGGGCCATGCCATCCCCTTCCATGTTAGTGGGTCAGAGTGTCTAGTTTGGGGTTAGCTCTTCAGGCACATCAACTGAATTCTTGAGGGTAAATGAAGTACGCAAAGGATGGGGAATGGGGAGGTGCTGAAATTGTGGCAGAACTCAGAAACCACATGTTCCTTTTCAAGAACAGGTAGAAACAGGACACCCGGGTTGTTGATGGGAGGCTTCGCCGGAAAACTACACAGCTGAAGTCTTCGCACCAAGTTTTGACATGTTCTTAGACAACAAATGTGAGACATCGCCATTTTCCAACATTGATTTCAATTTCAATCAACTTCCGTTTCGGTTGGTCTCCAGTACTCCACTGACATCGAGCCCTTCCCGTTCGCAGCAGGTCTCCACACCGGTTGGCATCGGGCTTGGATTTGCCTGACCAGTTTGGCCTCGAGACTAGGAACTTGTTCTCAAGACTCTCAGGTTCCGTCTGAGACATCGATACGCAGTTGGTCCATCTTCCCACGCAAAGGGCAGAAAAATCTGGGTTGAAGCTGGACTTCGAAGTCCGGAAGCCTTGGACTCGACCTCCTTCCATTTCAAGCCGGTGCCTGCCTTTGCCTTTTTCCCAGGCTGTTATACGTCTTGGGGATTTTAGAGCTCATGGCTTTCCCCCTGCTGGGCGCTGGCACCTTTTCCATGGCCCCGGACGAGAAGACTCTCGGGCCGTGAGAAGCGGTGGTTCATGCGGGTTTGACCCCTCGGTGGCCGGGGTTGGAAGACGATGCTTGGAAGACGAGGCTTTTGGTCCCCAAAGGTGGATTTCTGGAAGGTACTCCTCCTTTGCAACAGTTTTGTATAATGCACTGTCAGTTCGGCTGTTTTGTGGATGCAATGGAGGTGTGTTCGAAGCCCGGAAGTCATCCAATTCATGGATATCACAGTTTTTCCATTTCCTGGTACTTCAAGTTTTGTCCATTAGCAGTGCAAGCCTCGACTGAAGAGCACCCTTTCCAACAACAACACCACTGGCATAGCCGCTTGGCCAACATCCGAAGCATGAAACGGCTGTTTTGCTTCCCAAGATTCTTAGACACATGCGGAACGCCATGCGGGAGCGCATCAGAACATCTCAGGGTGTGTCTAAGTGGCTTCCTGTAAGCCGAGAGTTTCCCCGACAAGCCTGTAAGGGTGTGTGAGACCACCTGTCTCGTGGGGCCCTCTGGATGTTCAGGCACAATTTTCCTATCAACCTCTTGAGTACAGCTTTAGTCCTTCTAAAGCCCTGGTCCATGTAGGGCTTTTGTTTGGTCCAAGAGGGTTTCGTTTTGGTCGTCCGATTCCGACCATTCCTGCCCTCCTGCCCTGCTTAGCCGTCGGATCCGAGTCCAAGCGACGCCACAGGATCCTGAGCATCCAAGCCCTTTTCTTTGGTGCGATGAGCGGTGCCATTGCCACCTGACATGGAAAGATCACATGAGAGAAGTGGAGATTTGGGTTGAAAGATGCTGACAGAATGTTGATGCTCAAATTATCGTTGAACGTTTTCCTGACTTGTGTAATTGCTCGGCGTGTGCATCCATATGTGCTGAGCTGGTAGATTCATCTCCAGTTTCACCAGTTTCAAAGTCCGCCAAGTAGGCCGAGCAAGACCAATTCAAGACAAATGATCTACCCCTGTTCGGCGCTTTCTGAGTTAGGCACTTTCTATCACCTGCTCTTCGCGCGTTTTCGGAGAAAGATCTCGGACAACGATCTGAGGTGATGACCCTGCAGGTGATTTTCGAGTTGTGGAAACCCTTCGGCGGTGCATACACCGTGGACACGGTGACTTGGCTCATTCGACGGAGGGGATGTGACGAAAGGCTGAGGCAGACGCACATCGGGAAGGACTAGCTTGATCAGCAGGTGCAGAGCAAAGAACTTGCACACATGCCATGGTTTGCCAAAGTGCTGTATTCTAATGTATTCTATTCATTATATTTTCTATCTACTACTATGATGCTATGAGAGAACGACTCCAGCTATGGACAAAGATCCATGGCGACCATCCAAGGCGCTCTCGCGAATGGTGGCTGGGTTGGAAGAGGACACGGGTGGAGGCCGAGTCCAAAAGGGTCGCAGTCATTGGCTATTAGGGTATATACAGGGTGTAGCCCATTACCAGTACTTGTAGCAGTCGGTAAAAGGATGTAAAGGGTCTTATGACTATTTTAGAGGAAGGCTTGTAACCTAACCATCATCATCCACTGCTACTGGTAATGGGATAGACCGAAGGTATATAGTAGTATATACAGTACATAACATGACTTACTTGGGTACCAGTAGCATGCATTTGCCACCCTGTGGCTATGGCTCAAACAATCTGGTGCCATGGGATTCCTCCCCCTACAAAGGCTTCACCCCGCAGTCTCTTCTTCCTTCGAATGAGTCGTTCACCGGCGCCGAGCCGGTGAACGAGATCCACGTCGAGTCGGATGGATTTGAGCTCCTCATCTGAGTCGTTGGCCCCTTTTGGTCTGCAAAAGCGTCCTCGCATCGAACCGGGTCAATCCCTCGCTTGCTCGCTCGCTCGGAGACGAGACGAGACACGACCGACCTCTTGGGCCGTTCGGGTCCTAGACTCAGCAAATCCACAGCTGAGAATACATAGCAAATCCAAGGCTGCTCTTCTCCTGTTGATTTATGATGGTTTTGGAGTGCGAACTGGTGGCCGTCCACATTCCCATCCACACTCCTCACTGGTCCGCAGATGAACATGAATTAGGTACGGACAACTGCTTTGAGCCCCTTACACCAACACAGGATCTTTGAACAAGAACGACATCTACAAGTTTGCCAATGAGGTGCCCCCCCCCCCCAAATTCCTTAGCATCCCAACCTCTGGCACTCCGCCCGCCCTCGCACCGTCCCTCCAGGAGCTCCGCGTCCGCAAAGCGCTGTGGCAGCCCAACGACGCGGCGCCCGCGCCGGCCGCCGCCGTGCGGAGCCCCGGAGATGGGGAGAGAGGCGGTGGGTGGATCAAAAGGTCCCCCCCCCACGCAGCCTGGAGCTGTAAAACCACCATATAAAACCAGGGGTTTGCTGAATGAATGGTTTACACTCAAGACTCAAGCCTTCGGAGTCCGATGTGGGCCTGGGATGTATATGGGTCCCTTTGGTGGGGAGCTTTCGGAGAGTTCGTTCTTTTTGGGGGTTGGTCGCCATCACGGAAGCGAATGGTGCGAGGTATCAAGCAAAATGGAGGTTCGAGCAGCTGAGGCAAGTGTTTGAACCAGTTCTTGTGGTGCTACCACATGAGGCCCCACAGTAATGCATAGGATAGATTCACACCACCGGTAATGCTGACGATGTTCATTCTTTTTTGGTGGTGGCCAGGCCACGGGGGTCGGGCACAACATGTCCAAGACGACCTGGCCATCAGGCACAATGGCGGGACGACTATGACTATGATCCGCCCTGAGAACCAAGCCGAGGGCTGGCATTTTTGCTTGCCCATTGAGCAGGAAGCTACGAAGCCCTAGGAGCACTCCCCGGGTTTCCTCAACGTTGTTTGTTGGTCCACAGCTCAGGTCAAGCTGCGACAACTTGACAAACATACTGGAAGATTGGAAGTGCAGTTGATTCAGCCGTCCACCCTAGTGAGCAACTTTGTCCCCTCACTTGGAATGAAGATGTGGTCGCAGCCTGGGGGAGTGTGATCGATGTCCCAGATTTCAATTGGGAGTGATCACCGCACCCTGCACGTCGTCCGTCCGCGGCGAGCACGTCTTCCGCGACCAAAGGCGTGCCGCGACCGGTGCGCGCTGGGAGCTGGGTGAAAAAGAAGCAGCTGCAGCTGGGTGAGATGAGGTTGGAGAAACAAGGCCACCAATGTTCAACCATGTTCAGCCAAAGCATGATGCAAAGGGTTTGTCGATCATCCATAGGGGGTTGCTCTGAAACAGATCAAAGTGAAAAGAGGGTCAACCACCGAATTGGCTGCTAAATCGGTGTTTTTTCCTCCCTAAAGTGGTGCCAACCAGGTGTCCGTCAGACGTGTAGGACTTGGGATGTTCTGGGCGGGAATGGCCATGGGTTGCTTGGCCTCCATTCATTATGACTCCATGGGGGCGGGCTCTGAAGGGGAAACCTTTGTTGAGAGGAGCTGTGACCAGTCATGAACATTCATGAAGCACAAGGGATGTTCACCAGTTCCTTTTTGGTTTTGGTGTCTTGAGCCGGCCAACACCCCTCCTCCTCTTTTGACCAAATGCGCAGTTGTTGGGGGACCTACGAAATCATATGGACCCTGTGCATCCTTGTAGGGTTGAGGAGTCGAGTTGAAGATCGGGTTGCAGGAGGACAACATGACCTTGAAACAGCTCCATGAGTCCTTGCAAGACCTGTGCGCGGCAGTTCGTGCGGCGCCGGGCAAGCGCTGGCGCGGGCGCGCGCGCCCGGGCGGCGCAAGCCGGTGAATGTCTGGTCAGCGCATTGGAGCTCTAAGAGTCATTCTTCAAGTGGCTGAGATTGTAGATCACTTCTGGTCTTGTTGGCCGTTGTTGACCCGGCATGGTGGCTCAAACAACGAGACCCACAAATCCACAGGTTGCCGGATCTTCCATTCTACCAGTGGGTTTAGATTCAGATGTTGGGATCCTCTGGGTCGGAGAATGACTGCGAATTCCAGGTACAGACGGCTGCAGGAGGAGAGAGACGCGCTCAAGCGCCGGCTGCGGCAGGAGCAGGAGTGGTGCCATCGCAGAAGTTTGTTTGTGGAAAGTGGTTTCCCAATCGATCGTTTCTATATCTCAGGGAGTTTTTGCTGAGCGAACGGATACTTGTTCGGGTATTTGAGGTGTTCAGTACCGACTAATTCGAACACCCGTCAGAACTACTGTATTGGTTTGGTAGTCAATTCGTTCCTTTTTTGGGTCCCTTATGAGGACTCTGCATTTCTTGCCTGGGTAAGAAATCCCTTACGAGGGGCCCACATGTGTGTTGCCGTTGCAGGCTGAGCAAGACGACAGCACTCGACGAGCTCAAGCTGAGCTGGCACGACTAAGGCTCTCTTTCATCTGGGTCCAAATGCGCGACCCTTTTCAAGTCCCGGCTGCCTGAACACTTATGTACTTCGTTTTTGATAGCTTCTTCAGAACATGTATTGACTGAGACATTGGATGTTGATTCACTTTTCTACCCAAGGCTTGACTCTGAGAGAATCTACCAATTTTGGCGATTCTGGGATGTTCCCACCAGTAGGTGCAGGCCAACATGCTTGTGTGGATTTCACCCTGTCTTTCAGCGGCATTGAAGTATATAGAAGTATATATCAATCCACGGTTACGGCCGCCCCCAAGTCGTCTCCTCCCTCTCGTTCCGCCCGTTCCGTTCCGGCATGGCCGTCACGTCCCTCCGGTCCGTGCAGGGAGCAACTTCGAGCCAAGTGCCGGGAGTGTGAGGACAGGACTCGTGGGACTGGACCGGTGCCGTCGTGTGGCGAACATGGACACCCAAGGGCCGCGCAGAGCGCAGGTTGCGCGTGAAAGGGCGGACTTTGGGAGGGATGACATCTACTCTCCAAAAGGACCATACGCTCAGCAGATCAAGTTCTTTTGGTTTTCCAGAGTTGATGGTCTGTACCTCGTACCACAAAACAGGTGTGTGCCCGGTTAATGCACTCAGTGAACAGAAGTCCTCACTTCACGGAAACGTGTGCAATTATTCTATCTTTATAACTAGTTTATAACCGAAGAGCAAGCAGTTCAACGTATATAGTCTTTAGTGCTCTGGTTGTTCTTAGTTTGTTTCTTTGTCGTGTTTCTTTTGGCATCGGTGATGACGGTGAGGTTGACGGTGAGGTCACCGGCAGGTGAGTTCTCCTCATTCACACTCGGTCACCCTCGGCGAGCTTGTCCGTGTGACCGTTGACCCGGAGGAGTTGCAACATCACGCCTTGTCGAATCAAGATTTCACCAGGTCCATCGCCGCGCTGTCGCAGAGCGACCGAGGTGTGAAAGACAGCGGTTTCGGGAGTCTCCCCAAAAAAGCAAGAAACACGACGTGGAAAAGACCCCAGTGGAAGGGAAGATATCATCTAGAATCTAGAAATTGGGGGTGATTCGGCCGGTGGACCGACGAAACCCATGTGGAAATTGCAGTCACCAGGCTTTGGATGGTTTTTGGAAGGTGCTCACAAACTCGGTACTGATAGCTTGAACTCTGCTTTTCGCGCTCACAGACCACGGATAGCTTGAAAGTGAAAGGAGCGCCCCCC